TTTGATTTTTACGAGGCTTGAAAATTAGTTCGCGGTGCGTTGTCGGCTTTGACAACGCACCGCGACTCATTTGAATAGCGTATCGCGCAGTTCGTGCGCGTTGCACAATTCGCGAAATACGAGATATCGCGCGTGTTAAGGTCGGGTTGAAGCGAGTTTGGATCTCCGCTCGTCCCGAAGTGGAGATATCGCGGCGACTTAGACGTCGAGCGTCACGATCCAGCTAAATCCAAAAATATTGTGAAACCTTGTATACATACATACATACATACGTTGTCACTTTCACTCGCTTTACAGTTACTACGGATGTCGAGCGGAACGTTTAAATATACTTTGTTTGCAACGTATGTATATATTGTTTGTTCACACAAGCGCGATTCGTTCGTGTCGTCCTTCTTTGTTATCGCGATAAATAATTATCAGTAATTAGAATGTATTTTGGGACACTGCCCTCTTTTCGATAAGAAGCCAATGTTTCTTAATTTCGAATTTTTTTCTCGAAAAAAAAAACGTTAATACGCGCTTCGCGACAGTTTGTTTTCCTCTGTGGACAACAAACTATTAAAACTTTCCTTTTTGAAATTAATTGAAATATTTCAAACAACATTGATCACAATTTTTATCTATTATTCCTTGAAAAAAAAGAGAGAAATAAAAAGATTCAACTGTGTGTGTGTGTGTGTGTGTAAAAACGTGATTTTATCGTAACTTTTTAGCAAAAATTTTAGATTAAGATATCAGAGTTATAATATATCGCTACCACGTGTACTTCGACGGTAATTTCCAGTGACTCACTACGTGTATATATTCGTCGAAGATATTGCGAACGATTTGCGGGCGATAACTTCGAGATCGTCAGTCGGAGCAAACCGAAAAAATACTTTTGCCTGCAGCGACGTATCATCAACCGCGTTGTCGTAAACAAAAATAAGAAAAATTCAGAAAACATATATCGGTAACGATGTCGCGAGCCACATTTCTCGCTTATAAACCGCGTTTTAACCTCGATAAAGCGAACGTAAATCGCCGTAGGGAGAGGATTAACGAGCTCTGCGAGCACGCGGGGCGCGAGCAAATTCAGATTGTCAGAAATTCGGGCGGCGATACCACACCTGTTACAGAGATACCGTGCGATATTATGGTAAAATTAGGCGCGCGACGACGAAGGTGCGATACCTACCTACACGCGTCGATTAAAGGTATGCGCACATCGTGCATTCCGCGCGCGTTCGTATACGCGCACACGTGTACGAGAATAATCTCGATGCTGTTGCGCGTTTCACGCCTCGAACGACGAGAAGTACGGACCCGCCTCGGCATTTCGCGAAGTCTAGCTCTGGGACGAGCCAAGAAGCGACCGAATGCTGCCGTGTGTGTGTGTGTGTGTGTGTTGTTTGTGTCACGAGTCACAACATCGTGCGACTGAGAATGAGGGACACAGTCTCTCTCTCGAAACTTTGACTTTCGCTTATCGCTGAGAAGAGTCGTAAATTTCTCTGCGGTTGCGACGCGAGTCACGAGGCGAAAAATAGATTTTGAAAATAAGGGATTAGGAGGAACTCGCGTAAATTATAATATATACATATATGTATATTCTGTACGTAACGCACAGTTCTGTCTCGTCGAGAGAGATTGGAAAATTGTCTCCTTTAAAAATAAATACGGAAAGAGAGAGAGAGAGAGAGAAAGAGAGAGTTATATTTGTTTTCGGTTCAAGTTCAGTTCGGTTTATTCGTGTTTGAGAGTTATATTTCTTTTCGGGGTGAAGTTACTTATTTCTCGTTAGAATTTTAACACTCAATGCTCTCTTTGCCTTTATTTCTTTCTAGGAGCGTATAGCGTTATTTTCTTTCGACTGTTTCTTTACGACTATATCTCGTCATATATCTCGATAATATCGGCACATGCACCGTGTAAACGTTGTTAGCTTTGCTCGCTTGCCCGAGCTGTCCCGCGAGATAATTCTGCCCGATAATTAAACGCACGATGTATTTCTCATCATCGGGGAACGGCGGGGAAGGCAAGTATCGATTCGTGTTTCGTCCGCGTGCACTTCTCTCTTCTCTCTCTCTATCTCCCTCAGAACCGTCTGTTCTCGCGGTTCTATATAACATTCCTCGAAGCATCGCGAAGAGCAACCTTCGAACTCGGATCTGCATTTATCGCGCTTTTTAGACAGAGAAAGAATCTACCACTCTGTGTTATCGCTCGCGTACGAGACATTCTACAACACACAGAAGGTGAACCAAATGTCGCTTCGCACTTTGGTGCAAGCGGGAGAGAAGCGTATCGCGCGCGCGAGATTACAAAGTTTAAACGTCGATTAGCCCGACATCGTCGTTGCGGCGATAATTAAATTTTCTTCCTTACCTCTCTGCAAAGTGCGCGCGTTATCTATCGAGCGCATCGCACTCGACGATCTCGCGCTCCTTGCGAGGAGAAAGAAGCGCGTCATTTGAGTCAATTTTATCTATTAAACTCTTCGTTTATAGTTGCGCACACGGTGACACACACGAGAAAAATCTAATTTTTTAATTCTGAGCGACGGATTTCGAGCATCGATGAAAGTGATGCTTCGATTCGCGCGTGATTCGGTTACAACTTCAAGTGCACGATCGGAATTCTTGATCGCTCATCGCTGTAATTGCGCTGCGATTGTCGCGACGAAATTAACGGAGAACGCCGATTGTAACTGACCTTCGACAGTCTGAAAACGACTCGTCACGTTTTTCGCCGCGTCGCATGACGAAACAGGGTAACCAAACCTATGGTTAGCAGCACCCCTCCAATGATTAGACACTCGGTGCTTTTTTTCTAGTTTCCAACAATCTTTGTCTATGATCAATTTTTTTATTTGACATTACAGTAGGTTAATTTCAATTTTTTACGGCAACATTTTTTAGAGTCCTTCAATTGGCATTAAAAAAAAAAAAAAAAAAAAAATTGACAGATCTTTAAAGTGCCAATCATTGCATTTAAAGTGCCAATCATTGAGTGTTTTACCCTCAGTCGCACCTACACCGACCGATCCGTTCTTGCGTCAACGCGAAATCGTACGCCTTTTGTTTTTACACGCGTGTGTGCTCGAGACCTTTCGTTCGCTCTCGCTTCAAATATACCGCGAAGTTATGTGACGTCTCAATTAACGCTTTCTCGCGCCCGCGCCCGCGCTCTCTCTCTCTTTCCGTATTTCTCTTTGTCTCTTGCAGCCGCGGAATAGAAATAGCAGCAGAACAGGCTCTCGGAATCTTCTCGAGAGAAAAAAAAACAAAAAAGAAAACGCAATGGTCCGTCATTGCGTATTCAAAAACTTCTGAATCTCCATTAAACCTGATCCTATCGTGACACTGAAAATAGCAGCAGGACAGGCTTCTTCTCAAAAAACTCGCACGAAAGAGAAAACCATACTTACGACCTTTTCCTCTGCTTTCAAAAACTTTGGCCCGGATCCTCCAGAGTTCTGTGAGATTTTATTGCAACAATACATACTGCATTAAAACTAACAGCGAGCTGTTATCCTTCCACGACAGGTTTTGCAGATAGTTTAAATTTATCACGTATTGTTAACGATAGAGAATCACACAGGACTCTACCAAAGGATCTCGGGAAAAGTTTTCGAATGCAGAATAATGGTTAGGTTAATAATAATGGTTAGTTTTTCTTTTTTTTTTTTTTTGGTTTTCCGTCCGAATTCTTTGAAAAGCCTGTTCTGCTGTTATTTTTAGTGTCACGATCGGGCTTGAAGCAATTTGGAAATCCAGAGGTTCACAGGAATACGTAATGAGAAACCATTGTCTCATTTCCTTCGTCTCCCTTTTCTTCGAGAAGGTTCTCGAACAAAACGAGAAGTTATTTGAACGAAACGACCGTTAAGCAACGTCATAGCTCGAGTGTTTTAGCGACGGCGCGACTCGCGGGATTATTTCGCGAGCGCAAATAACGGGGCAGGTGCGCGCGAATATCTCTGAAAGCGGGTGTTGGACGGAGAGCGCGTGGAGCGGTGAGCGAGCGCGAGAGAGAGGAAGGGAAAACAAAAGGAGCAGCACCGAGGCTCGAACGAACGCGGTTGCGTTATAGCGTGCGTGCGTACGTGCGTGCGTGCGAGCGAGCGCGACGAGAAGAAAAGACACACGCACGCGGTTCGATCATGTATGTGTCTACGCGCGTACACGCGCAAGCGCCTAGGTGTCAGCTGGTTAAAAACAGCTGTGCCCAAACGTCGATGACGACGGATTAAATGTCCTCGCCCCGATGGCCGTGCGAGAAGAACGCGAACGTCGTTTATTATCGCGTCTTTCTAAGAGAGCGTTCTTTATCTCGCCGGCGATAATCGATCCTGCGGTCGCGAAAAAAGAAAAGCGAACCAGCGATTCTCCCTTTGTCACACGCGTGTTGCACGCACACGCTTACATCACACACACAGAGTATGGGGAAAGGGAATTATTCAAATCGTCGCGAGAGCAGTTGCACGTTGTGAGTAAACAAAATTCGCCGAAAATTTGAAAGATCCTTTCGTTCACCTTCGACGATTGAAAACGTCGCGCACGTTTTGCGTTTTAAATTGATCTCGCCAGATGTACGTTATAATTCAATTTATATACTCGAGTAAGACAGATCGTAAAAGTTTTCTCTTCACGTACACACGAGAGACTCTAAAACACATTTCTGCCAAACATGCTGATAATCCAAGTATTTCATACTCGAGACTCTAAGAAGGTATAAAAAATAACGTTTATCCGATTTTGAGTAGTGGATCAAAGGATCATCAGCAAGTGAAGTTTGTTTGTCCAGTTCTCAACACTTTGTACAGACACACGCACAAACACACACAGATACACACACACACACACAGATACGCGCGTGCAAGGAGGAGGGCGCATTGTAATCGCGCTTCGCTCTCACACGTGCGCCACTACTACGCAAATACATATAGATAGGATTGGCACAGGTACTTATCGGACGGCGAAGAAGGGGCTTTTTTAAAACAGCTTCAAGGATACAGTTTGATAACATCCGTGTCCATACGACGTTTGCCTGCGCTGGGGGACGACATGTTTTATCGGTGCTGCTCGATCGAGTCGCTGCGCTGGAAGTTCGGCAGAGGAACCCCTTTTTTTTTTTTTTTTTTTTGCGTCCCACAGCGCCGCTGCTGGCTGGTGGCGTCCGCTGCCTCCTTTCTCCTCTCCTACCTCTTCCTCCTACTTCTTGGTGCGCGTGGATCAGCTGAGCTCGACAGACAGTTCGTCGTGCCCCGGGAGGGCTCTCTAGACAGCTCCTCGCTGGTGTTTTTTTTTTTTTTTTGTTTTGCTTTCCTTGCGCGCGTGAGAGAGAAGAAAACCCGATTGAACAGCCCTCGCTTTACTTCAACACTGCGGCGAAACGCACACTCTCCTCTGTCCCCGACACGACATGTAAACCGAGCGTTATATTCAGCACACACCGAACGACCGAGCGGGCGAGAGAGAAAGAGCGAGAGTCAGCGAGCGAGAATAAAGGGGAGGGGGGGCGGGAACGCGCTCGGGTAAGAGTGAGCGAGAGAGAGAATGAGAGATGGGTAGGGGAGGAAGGGAGGGAGACAAAGACGGACAGAACGCACACACGGAACGTCTCTCGTCGCGCACGAGACGGAAGAAAGGAAAAAAAAACAAAGACAGCAATTACGAGCACACGATAATCGACCGGTCGATCGACCGGATCCCCGTGGTGATTCTCTGTCCTAAACCGAAAAGGACGAGAAACGACGGGAGACGCGATTATCTGCGACTCGACGCGACGTGGAGTGATCTGACCGAGGAGGAGAGGAAGAAGTGAAACACTGTCGACTACTCGCCTGCGTTTCGTTCTTCCTTCCTTTTCTTCCTTCCTTCCTTCCTTTCTTCGTTATTCTCGTTCGTTTTTGAATGTGCGATTGTGTATGTACGTGTGTCAAGCTCCGAAACGAGCGACATCCGTCTCTCTCTCTCTTTCTCTCGCTCTCCCGAATGAAGAAAGAGATCACTGTCAAACGAGAGCGATCTCCTTCTGCTCCGTGCGCATCTCCGTTATCGTCATCATCATCGTCGCTAACCTTTTGCGTGTCAAAAAGCTAGATCATCTCGTCAGCGATTACAAGGAGCAAATCGCATTCGTCGACCGCCGCGTTTCTCTCACTCGCTCTCTACGTTCCTATCGCTTTTCCAGTCTTGCTAACTGTCTCTCTCTTTCTCTTTCTCTCTCTCGCTTTCTATCTGTCGTTCGCGTGCGCATACACACATGGAAAAAAACTGTTCCGTCCTCCTGCCAGAGAGAGAGCCTATGTCAACCACTGTCGCGTAAACGCCTGTTCTTTCTCTCCTCTCTCCTCTCTCTCTCTCTCTCGTGCACCCCACGACCTGTCAATCCGCGATCTTCGCCACCATCTGATTCCGTTCTCGTCGCTTGCAAACTGAACTGCTTTCTGGCCTCGAGCGACGACAGCGGCGTCTGTTCGAAGCATGCGCACGATGACGCGTGCGCGTTACGTGCTGGGAAACTCGAGCGACGCTCAAGCGGCCGATACTCGAACTAATTGCGTCGCCATCTTTATTAATCTAAAGCGGAAGAATTTGAAGGAATTGACAATTTGAAATACATGTTCAAATCGCATATCACACATCTCGGTTATGCTAATTTAATACTTTATATTGATTCATACGTACACATATTTATCACGTGTCATAAAATGCAAAAATAGCCACAACAGATCAATTTATTTGTAAAAAAAATGTATAAAAATTATTAAAATTATGTAAAGATGTTTTGATTAATATAATATGATGTGTAATACAATGTTAAGTCACAACGGAGACACAATCGCTTACAAAAATATAAATTATAAACGGTAAAATATAATAATAGTTCGATTTTAGAGACCATAACAATAAAAACGTTTTCGTCTCATTGATATTCTCACATCTCTCACTGATATACGTTCACAAATTATTGACAGAATCATTAAAAATCTACTTAAATGGCTATACAAGAGGAACACTACCAACTGATAACTTATTAAAAAATAATTAAATTCTACTTTTGTGAGTGTATTTGTATACGTGTGTGCTTAATGGAAATATCACTACACTATTAACGTGTGATTATTTCTAACATTAAGTTCGACAAATGGAGAAACATTATTGCACGTTACTTATTGAACTACTGTTTCATGGTCTTCTCATATCTGTCGCGCATACGTGTATATATAAGTACTACATTTTAAGTAACTCTGTATATTACGTTTTTAAATACAATTATTTGTAAAATGTTATTAAACAAGTTTTGATATAGTTTAATTATATAAAAATGTCTATGCCTAGTATATATATATTCGCAGCACATCTAAAACGAAAGACTTACGTAATACTTTTTTTGTGTGTATGATGTATAAATACATATGTAATAGAGACAAGTATACAGAGATAGAAAAAGGGAGAAAAGGGACACATTATTACATGGCAGTAAGTTAGCACACATACTTTCCCCACGAAACTTTTGTTTGCAAACCGTGTTCGCCGCGGTAAACAATGAATACTGGCGTTTAATACTATTATGATTAATTACACCAATATTAATCAAATATATTGATACCAATCTCAATTAAATACATTGATATCAATTATAATTGAACGTATTACGTGTAATAAATAATAGATGAATGCCCAGTAATGATATGTATAACAATAAGATGCACGAGGTTTTTTCCGATCAGAAAAGTGAAGTAAGAGTAATTACTTCCCTCGTGTCTCTTACAATTAATATATGCGACGAGCAATAAGAATATATTTGTAAAAATGTTTGATATCGTCTAAATTGATTTGTTATGTTATTGATTACTTGAATTAGTACATATATATATATATCTATACATATAATAGTATACGCGTATTATTATATATATATTATATATTATATGTAAAATCTAATAGTTTTGCAACAAAAGTATGGAATGTTGAAATATTCTAAACATATTTTCGATATAATTTAAGACTCATTAATTAAGTAAAGCAATTAAACTCCGGCTCTCATGCTAATGGCTAAATCATCTTTGTTAAGGCTTTTCGATACTCGCCGCAGCCATTTACGGTCGTGTTCAGCATTTTGTAGGTACTTATTGTCTGTGATTGGTCTATTCCTCTAGATCTATTGTAACTGTGAAAGTATATAAGACAAACAATAACCAGAAAACGCTTACTAAGCATTCCGTTTTGCTGAACACGGCCAATGACGACATCAGAAGCTAGAAAATACATGTCTAAATATATGTGTAAAAATATAAAACATAAAATTAGTGCAACTTATGTTAAAATAAAAGATAATTTTTGTATAATCTTATCCTCTTTCGCTTGCATTGTGAAGATCACATTTGTAAAACATGTATAGACTTTCTCATATGTGCTTTCATTTTTTACTAGATTGAAGAGTCACTAAATATTTTATGTAACTTTCTTTATCTTTGGATATTTATGCATTACGTTCGTAGAGTCTGCACGTATTTCAAATATGTATAAGTAGAAAATAAATATCGCTAGTCACGCAAAATATTTAATAATTCTAGATCTAATAAGGTAGAAACATATACGTGATAATCTACTCTTCTTTTGGTTCAATAACAATAAAATCAAATAGAAACATATGCTCATTAAAGAACACACGAAATCAGCGGCCACGCACTGTGATGATGACTGTGATTGATTAATTTTTTTGGTAGATCTATTGCAAATGTGAAAGTGTATGCCGATTATATTAATTACAAAACGCTTACTAAGCGCTGAGTTCTGCTGAACGTGATCAATGTTAGTGCTTTTAAATAAGCACATGTTTTGACTCAATTTTGCGTATAAATTTTATAGTCGTGTATATTTTATCGCTTCTGACGTTATCATTTAAAATGACTGCAACATTATATCGTCACTCCCTACGTATAATCCCGTAACTCCAAAACGCAAATTTTAGAGGAGAGCAGTTTAAAAGTTTGAAGCTTCATATAGTTCCCCTAGTTAAGGGATCTTTTGGTTTTAAATTTTTACCATACTTATGAATATTTTTTTTTAATACTTGGTGACCACAAAGAACATGACTTTCTGAGTGTCACTATGCAATAAACTGAAAATTCCATATGTGACACTTATGTAATTATACGTAGGGAGTGACGATATATCGAAAAACCTTACTTCAAAAAGATGATATCATATTGCTTCTATGAAGACCTGTTGTTTGTTTTTATTTTTTATAAAATGTACAAATGTTTTAATCTTATATATAAACAAAAATGCCAAAAACGAATTCTTAAAAAGGACAAAGATGAAGAAAAGGAAAAAATAGCCCGGGAAAAGAAAAGATCGGAGAAGAGGAAAAGACATAGAATCCGAAAGAAAACCTAAATACGCGATTAAGGAAGATTGTTAACAAATTACCAGTAGCATAAGCTCTGTATTAATTAGTTCAACTTGATGGTCTGCACATGTATAAAAAAAATCTGTAGAAATAAATTTGTATAAAATCACAATTCTAGATTAATCCTAGATATACACACTTATTTTTCTCAGGCATATGAATATTTAGAGTCCGCGAGCCGTCGAAAAGTTGACTTATTTCTCATTAGAATATATTGAAGAACTCAGCTAGTTTTTTCATCATAGTGCTCGAGAAATTTAACATATTATGATTAATTGTTTTTCAATCGATAGCAGGTGGAACTAAACAATACATCTCATGCACTCAGAATTATACACAATCATGCGTATAAGAAAAACGTGTGTCAAAACATATGAATTCTTTTTTTCAATTCGATTCGAAAAAAAAAAACGTCATTTTACTATGACAGTAGCTGAGTTCTTAAAGATTCCAGTGTGTATATCAGGGTTAATATCAGGTTAACGTCAGCTGTTCAATATATAAAAGCTCATTTCATCTCGTCTAAAATGTTTGATTGTCACTTGTTTTACACGTTTAAAAGTGTATATATTCAAATATAGTTTAAAATACTTAATATATCCACAATTTGTGCATAAGTGATAGATATAAATATGATGAGATGAAATGATTTACTTCCTTAAAATGTAATACTTCCCTAAAAATGTAAAAATGTAAAAAACTTCATTAAAAATGTAAAAAAATACTACAAACAGGTGTGTACGTCCGAACATCACTAAAAGCAATAAATAATTGAATTTGGTATATAAAATTGTTATGAGTATCAGTTAATGATGATCCTAATAAATAATATCAGTCACTGTGACCGTAATAAATACTGGAAAAACCTAAGTACAGTCGTTGCGAATTTCTACTTATAATTAAGTACATAATAAGCTTGAGTCTGAACCTCCCGCTTCTTACAAATGTACATAAACAGAAATATACTTCAATCTACTGTAGCTTTACGCGCGAATGAAGTTAGAGATAACATTTCGTTAGGATCAGTTGGCAAAGGAGAAAATTCGATGTCTTCGCTAACACTGTTTTCTAAAAAAAAAAGGTAAAATACGTTGTGTTTTATTCATTAGTATAAAATTAATTATAAAAAACAATTTCATTAATTTCTACTCTAAAAATTTAATTTTTTAACTAAAATTAAACTAAGCTAACAATAAAGGTATAAAAAAAGTTAAACGCGGATGTAATATTTTTGGAGTAAAATAATATATATCACTAATGTAACAAGAAATAATCTTTAGTTAACAACAAGAAATAAATCTCTAATTAATCTTTTGAGAAATTTTGCATTGTAAAAACATGCATCATATTTCCAGATTCTTACCAGAAGGTTCAATTGGCCATTGCTTGTGCGAAGGAGCATATAGACATAACAAAGCGATTATGTAAATATTCCACATTCCGTATACGCCAGTGAAGAAGGCAGATGTCATTTCCAACTGCAGATCTTCGTCCCACTTCCACTGACCTTCCGCAACCTATATCGCGAAAAAACAATGAAATGTTATATATAGGCGAGTTTATACACAGTCAAAAATATTCTTTAACTCTTTTACCTGTCCTAAAATAAAGCCAATAACAGTCAACGACGCGCACAATAACGTGGCTATCATCAAGAATTTGAAACGGTAAATAACTCCTTCGTAATGTAGACGTCGTGCCGAGCTCATGCTAGGCAAAGCCGCTCTTTTCGCGCTGATATTCATAAACACTTTCCATATCATATAACACAAAAACAACAAGTACACTCCGGCACATACGCCAGCCAAGATGATGAAGGACAACTATTGTGTATCTTAAGGAAATCTATCTGTTGACGAAGTTGTTGATTGTTTTGAAAAGTTCTCTTTAACGTTCTTAAAAGAGAACTGCGGCGACTATTCAAGAGTCTTAAAGACAATAAAAGACTGTAAAACTGTTTAAACAAAGGATACTGCCAATTTTGTTCCGATATCAGTGACCCAAATTGAAAAGAACGGATTTCTCAGTTGCACACCGCGTTCGCACATATCAAATACGAACAACGAGAGACATCCAGTACCCACTGCAGAAAGATGCCGCCAGTAGCATTTTAGTGAATTGGTTTGTTCACCCTCCTAAAATCATCGTCAAAGGTGATATATCTTTCAGCAATAAATGAACAAGAGAGACTAGAGATTAATAAATAAAAAAAAAACATCTTACCTGAATCTACAATGAAGAATAAGATGCATACATGAAACACAAAAAGTATTATTAATATAATAAATAATTAGGGAAACGATATAATATATATATATATAACACAATTTTAAGGTAGTTATTGAGATTTTCAGTCTATTTACAATCTTATTCATATTTGGAATATACATTTTTAAGTAAGCAATCTATCATATTGTTCAATCTCAAAAAGCTCAGCCGTACCAAAAAAAAGATATAAGGCTTTGAAGTTCA